GAATGGAAACACGCTCTCACCAACAAAGCTGCAAAGACCCGAGCATTGGCTCTGACAGATGTGTGCCATGGTGTGTGGATGAGCCGGGCGGTGTCGGTTTGGTCTATCTGTCGCCGGAAGCGTGTCCTCCTGGTCGGTATTTGATGAGCATTAAACCCGGTGCGGGTACGCAGTGGCGGCGTTGATACTGTTGTGTCGTTAATGTGCTCTTGATTTTTTATCGGTACACTAATGGCGTCGATTCACTATTCAGAGGTATGGTAGGAATTTGTGTGCAATGTATGGCGCTTTCCGTGTTCAGGACTGCCTGTGTGCTTGGTCATTGGCAGACTTGTGCTTGATTCGATTCAAATGCAGAATTGGTTCAAGAATCCTTTATATTATTCGTGGAGCGAGGTTGATTAGAATCTGTAGCCTCAGTAGTTATTCTGAGTAAGATTTGATTCGCTGCTCGAGGCTTGAATGAGCTCAATCAGAAAGAAATGAACTTGAATTAGCGACGAATTATAAGTACAGTTGAGCATTCAAAGGATAACTGTTCGAAAGTTTAAAAAATAGTAGCAGGATGGATGACAAAATTGCTTGCTTATGTTGGAAACCTGGCTGGATGTAATCCAAACATGCAGCAGACTTTGACGCATGAACACAAAGATTGTTCGGGTTACATTGCAAGCGTGAAAAATATTTTGGGAAGAGGAAAAGGCATAGATAAAGCATACACGCTTGCAGATATTTTGATATATTTACTGAAACTTTCATCCCATAAATATACAATCCGTAAACCAACGCATGATGCCTCGGGGAACGTAACCTTTTCCTTTCGTACACGATGACATAAACTGTATGCCAGAATCTTTTGATAAACACGCTGTGGTGCAGATGATTGATAAATGCAGTAAAACGCTAGCAACTCTATCACCGAATATAAAAAATATTGAAGCACAATTAGAATATAAGGATAGACTTAGGGGCTTGAATTTGCATTAACCGAAATATGGCAGACTTAGACGGGATCTGATAGAGGTATATAAGATTATGAAAGGAATAAATAAGGTAGAACTACATGGAGCATTGGAATTAGGCCGAGGCATGGAAGAAACCAGTTTCATTTAGTAAAAAGTAGGAGTACAACTATGAAGAGACAGATGCTATTTATTCAAAGAGTAGTGAACCATTAGAATGGGCTGACAAACGAAGTTATAGGAAGTCCGTCTCTAGGAACATTCAAAAACCGCTGGGACAAGTTCTATTGGTCTAGATATCCCATTTATAGTTTAATTTATGCATGTCATTTGATAAGTTTTGAGGATATGTATGGCACCTGAGGTAGGCCAGCCTATGGGCCCCCGCGGCTCTGCTGGCCGGATATCTTTGTGTCCTTATGTCTTTATCTCACTGACGGTATGCGCTTTAGGGTGCTTTCGCAAAATGAATTGAGGTGGGGACGGGGGGCTGAGCAATAAAGAATGGTCAAACATGCTCTCATAATGCACATCAAAACCAGCTTTCCTTCGGATTTGAATTCCTACATGTTTTCTGGTCCAGCCCTTCTCGCTCTCGACCGCACTGGATAGGAAGGAAACTTCACCCCAAATTGGCGATGTTGGTACAAGTGCTTGAATTAAAACTGCTCGTTTCGATTGGAATAAGTTTCGTGATATCATGATTAAGAGTTCAGACCCTATTTTATCGTCTGAATGAGACCTAGAGTCAGCGATGCCAATTGGCTTCAATCAAGAACTGATTCGAGTCATTATTTCAAAAATATTGACTCAAGGCTCTGACTCAAATCTTGATTGGCTCCCAATTGTTTGAGTAAGAATAAATTCCATTCCCGTGGAGTTAAATCATTTACAAGCCGGGTATGACGGAGCAACATTCTATTACCAATATCTCATGCAAAATGCATTTTTATTAAGTGCCTTATGCCACCCGCCACCGCCGGACTAAGGGCTACGCGAGTCCACGACACGCTCGACAGACGCCGCTGCCGCCGAGATCCTTGATCATTGGTTCAAGTTCTGACCACCGATGTCTTAAGTCATTGGCTCAAGTTCTGACCACCGATGTCTTAAGTCATTGGCTCAAGTTCTGACCATTGATGTCGTAGATCATTGGCTCAAGTTCCGGCCGCCGAGATCCTTAATCATTGGCTCAAGCTCTGACCACCGAGGTCATTAATCATAAGCTCAAGCTCTGCAGTTGACATCGATCGCTGATCGGAACCGGAACTGGCATCGTGTGGGTGTGTGTGCGTTACCACCAGCAGGATCGTGGGCCGCAGGCGAGGCTGGCGGCCACTCGCTACCGCCGGACCACGGAAAGCGCACGACGCGCTGCGCAGCCGCTACAACTGTCGAAATCCTTAATCGATCCTTGATCACCACAATTAGCTGAAGTATCTGTGACTGGAATTGATTGGGGATTGCTGCCGGAAGGGTGAGACCGTCGCGTCGTGAGTCATGCTGACCTCTTCGCCTCCCCGCCTTCGCTGTTTTAAACTGAGTCTTCCCATAAAACTAAGACTTGCTGCGGCTTTAGCAATTTTTCATCTGAAAAGAGGCCGTTGTAGATCGATAGACGATCTTTGTTCGAAGCGGATGACCGGGGTTTGTCCTCAGTAGCTTCGAGGCCCTCGAGACACGTCAATCCACGCCCAGCCAGACTTGCTCTGGACGGGCGAGGCACTGGATTGTTCACTAGTCTGTTTGACCTTTTGAACCTGGATCGTTGGTTGCGGAGGTTGTTGCGATTGCATCGGTCTGTGCGTGCGTGCGAATAGCCCGGAGAAGTGCATATGTCTGGGCGTCTCTGTTACTCCGGAGTGTATGACATAGAACTAAAATGGCGCGAAATTGAAAGGGTGTCGGAGTGGTGCATCGAGCTGATAATTTTTGGATTGCCGAAAATATGACTAAGATCGGTCTCCTTTGCTTATGAATACCTCACCAAATATGTGTAATGCTTACGAGTCACCACGTTGAAAATAATTGTTTCATATTTGGTCAGCGTCCTCTTTAAGAAAGCCCGCTGTCATCCCTTTGTGTCGATCTTCGCTGAGTTAGGCCAACCGGCGAACGCTTTTGTGTTTGCTTCGTGTTTTTATATGCTAGATTACCGTTCGAATTCATTTCCATGGATAGTTGGCAATAGGATAACTCGTACCGTTCGAAGTGTTTTTATTCGCAGAAGCTCTTTGTCGGAGTTCCTTTGGTTAGCTGTGCACCTTGTAGCACAAGCGGTGCTGTCCATGCCTGCATAATCTGTCAGAATTCATTTAAAGACATGCGCTCATTGCAGAATGCTCGATGCTGTCCATGCCTTCTTCTAATCACGCTATAAACCGAAAAACTAGTGCTGAAAGAAGTTCATCATACAGCCCGTGCCCATAGAAATGGGCCTCAGTAGAATTGGCTTTTATGTGTTCACGTTGTGCCAGCGCCGCCCGATATGTTTGGGGCATGCATATGAAAGCGTAAATGGAGCGGATCGTCCGTATGATGAGTAAGCTCGTGCATCTCGCGGCACAAGCGTTTTTAGATAGGCTGAGGAAATGCGTTAGCTCGTTGTAGTGAGACGCCAAGTATTTCACCAAAGCTTCTCTGTATTTTAGTTTCGCACCACAGCAGCCGCTAACTGTCCACCTACCCTCTCTGCTCTCCCAACGGCGACTCCCGACAGCGGGGACCGTGAACCGGGGCCGGCCTGCAAACCTGACACTCGACACTGCGGCGGCGGCGCGCCTCCGCCGCGCCCCGCCTCAGTAGAGGCGCAGGACACAAAGCACAACTGCGCTACAAACACTCATGTATCTCTTGACACATGCGTTTATTGAAAGGATGAGTTAATGCATTACCTCATGCATGTCGCAAAGCATGTGTTTATTGGCATGCGTTTATTGAAATCCTGAGGTAGTGCCTTGGCTTGTGCATTCCGCGGCATGTGCGTTTGTCGATAGGTTGGTGGTTTAAAATCCGCCACGGTATATACTAATGCTTGCATTGATTTTGCCAAGAGGCTCGGCCTGTCTCGTAATTGATTTTGGCGGCGAACGTTCTTTGATCCCTATTAATCATGCGTTTTGTGCTTTCTTATCGCCTGTCGTTCTGAATCACTTCACCGCTGCTTGGACTATTGGCCCTTTTTCCTCTTATCAATTGCTGTAGATTATTGGCACCCTATTGCTTTTACTCGTTGCTATGACCTGACATTGCCTCACTCGGTTAGCAATATCATGTGTGCTGATTCTTTTTCTCAATCGCAAACAAACATTGCAACTTATTCGGTAGCTCAGATGTCAGTAATCTTGACAACTGAGTGTGTTCCTGGTAGCGCTATGTCCCGACAAGTAGGGTTGTAACAGCGTGATGCACACGCAAAATAGTTTTCATGCCGGCACCTACGGAAGGCGACGTGTGCGGGTACTGGGCCACTGCACATTTTAACGGGTACTGGGCGCTGTCCGGAGTGTTAACACGTTAAATTATGTGAACTGCTTGTTCGATTTAACTTTTGATCGAGATCCTCGCTAAGCAAAACTTACTGCACAGGTACCGAATTGGTCCTTCTTACGCGCATAATTACATTAAAAAACCCGCTGGTAGGAAAATGGCTACAGACAGCTTTGGATCCTCAAAAAGCCACGACGCCGCTACCGCCATGGATCTTCTCTACGGCCATCGTGGTCCTGCCGTGTGGTAGACGTGTCTTACCGCCCTAGTTTTTCATCGGTCATCCGCGCAGTCGTTGCAGTGAAAGTTGGTGACAACATGTGGTCAAGCTTGAGTGCGTCGTCGATTACCCAACACTTATCCAGCACGCTTCAGCCATCGCCTGAAACTGGAGCGCAAAACACGCTTGAGTGACCCAACCTGGAAAACAATCGAAGAATCCTTTATCATGGCAATTTTGGCAGCAAATTCGTGCTGCATGTCTGGCGCGCCGCCGACAGTGACGGCCTTGGCACGAGAATTTTAGCGTCGTCCGTGCCGCCGTGTGCCTGGTGGAATTTGGGGTGTCGATGCATAGCTGTGCAGCCGACGTATTGAATTTGTTCTGCGGAAGTACCTGAGGCAAATAGTTGAGGGATCCATACAGGTACAGCGCCACCTAGTCAGTTGGGTGGTAATATACTTCCATTTCCCGGCTTCGTGCACGGAAATGAAACACCTTCAAGCGTATTTGGGAGCTCACCGGCGAATCTGTTTTGAACTATACAGGCTTAACTTCTTGTGTTCGGTAATTGAGAGGAGTTGACTCGCATTAGGGAGGGGCATACCAACCAAAGTTTACAGAGGCATAACTTAGCTGAATCTGGGGAGGGGGCAGAGGGTTAGTCCTTAAAATTTGTATATTGTGCCAGATACTGAAGTGAGCTGAATCCATGGGTTGCATGCATGCACATAATCATGTGAGGCTAAATTGGGTGAAATTCTGTATTTTTGTGCATGAAGCATTCATGAAAATGTTTGCTCAGGTTTGCCTTTCCAACATGCAAATCTTTGAAACAGTACCATCTTGTGCTGAAATTGATAATGCACATGTGCCAAACTCAAGTATCAAGCCGTATCAAGCGCGAACTGACCTGACCAAAATGAACCAGCAGATGGTAATGATATTGATAGCATGAGTTTTGAATGTTTCTTTGGTTGGTATATGACTGATCCTGTTGCCTTGTCTAAATTTTACTATGCAGGTAGATTGTTTCTGGTAACTTGATGCCAATCTCATATCTTTCCTTTATATATTATCAGCCTGCTGTATGAAGTTTCAATAGGAAGAAATAAATCAGGTACCTGTTGGTAGCTATGATTTGTATCCTTTTTTCCACTGGTCAGATGATTGAGTATCTCATGCAAAATGGAAAAAACATGATGGAAAACGTTCCTTTCTGTCGTGTAATGATTTTTATTTGTAGGCATGTACAATCTCTTTATCAGTGGTGTTGATCAGCTGAAAGTGTAATGTTGTAACCTTTTTAGTCACATTTAACTACTTAACAACCAAATTAGATAACATTTTATTTGCTCTGCATGAAGGCAGATTAGCTGAGACATGTGCTTAAATTTGGTTAGCATTATTTGAACTGGATGACTGATATATACTTTATTTTATAAATTACAGCTTGTTGTGTGACTAGGCTATGTGTGTGATGGATGGCAATGACTTTTTATGGAGTAAAGGACAATGTGTTGCTGATAGCTCCAATGTTTTCATAAGGTTAGATACTAATCCATATTTTCCCTTGTAAGGTTTGATGTATGTCATTTAACTCCAAATTGATATATCACTTTCCGTAATGCTAGTCATGTGTTGAGTTTGATGACTTCGTTCATTTAACTCCAAATTGTCATGCCACTGCTCTTAATTGCAGCCACATGTTGAGCTGATTTTGTAAAATTGTATGGGCCTTTAGACATGGTATTTCATGCTCATGTTGTACCCCACCTCTTGCTGTTCAATATTGTATGCACCTGTGTCAAATTTCAATCAAAGGGAATGTTTTTTACTTTGAGACCTTGTGGCAAGCATCAAATATTATGTCAAAGCTCAATTGTCACTATAAGTATGCTTTGAAGTGCAAAAGAACTGTTCTAGAACAACACAATTATAGTTTAGTAGATATTATTTGCAATGCATCACCATTTGATTACATCATGAAAAGTCTTTATGATGCCAGTCACTGCCAGACTGGTCCTGTCAGTATTGCCACTGTGGCAGACAGACAGACCCATGTGAAGTATTTCAACTCACTGCCAGGTGGCTTGATAAGTTATGTGTGTTGATTAAACATAATATCATTATGCACACCTGTTTTGGTTGTTTCTTCTGTATTCTTGTACACTTGTCTCTGGCAGTATATTGTTAACTTGTATTTGATTCCTGGTTACAGTGCTGTTTAAGATATGATATCCACACCTTATTTCCATCTGTCATAACTGGTAGGGCTGTGCAAATGCTTGTATCGTATATTGCAAACATAGGTCATGTTCAAAGCTTGTTTGTATAGTGATAAGTTTGTTAAAAGTTTCTGTTGATGTAACAATTTGTGCTGACATACTCCTTGTAGACATTTCATGCTTCTCACTTAGTATCAGTGCATTATTGCTGTGTTGCTGTGCTAAAGTTTGTCATCATTCCAACATAACAACATTTTGCACACTTAACAGCCAAATGTACACAACTTATTTTGAATTGGGTCCAGGACATGCAGCCAGCATCAGTCGTTTCGCTTCAGCGCACCCTGCCGACTCACCACGAGTGCGTGCGTATCGCTCGTTCCCGCTGTGACACCCGCCGTCGCCTCTGGCAGCTGGATGTCTGAATACCCCTCGCGCCCGGTGTAACACGTCGCCGGCGCCCCTCCGTCAGCAGCCGCCATGTCCGGCCTGGAGCTGCTGTCCGAGCAGGGGCTGCGCGTGGACGGTCGGCGCGCGCACGAGCTGCGCAACATCGAGTGTCGCCTGGGCGTGTTCTCGCGCGCCGACGGCAGCGCCTACCTGGAGCAGGGGAACACCAAGGTGCGGTCCGGCTATGGCGGACCTGTGGTGTCCTGTGTGTGCTGTATATGTGTGCGGCGTGCTGCCCTATGCGTCTTGGCACTGCCGTGCTCACTGCATATTGCGAGGTTTGGTGCGCCGCCCTTTGACGTATTTGAAGCTTCAGTTTGTATATCGTTATGATAGCATGCAAGTGCTATTCGGGGTAAAGCCCTGGCACGTGTGTAGTAGTGTGTGGTGAATGAGAGCCATCATGGGCTTCGCACTTACGCAATACTTACGCACTTACGTCTTTTACTGACTGCCATCCTTTGCGAAGTCGCAAAGCACCATGCACATCGGTGCCGTCCAGCGAGGCCCCTCCGTCCAGCGTCCCGCCCTATAACAGCTGTGTGTGTCGCAGGTGCTGGCGGCCGTGTACGGGCCGCACGAGGCGCGCGCCAGCCAGCGGCGGCACGACGCGGCCGCCATCAACTGCCAGTACAGCCAGGCGGTGTTCAGCGGCTGGGAGCGGCAGCGGCGCGCCGGCGGCGACCGCCGCTCGCTCGAGCTCACCGCCCTGCTGCAGAACACGTTGGAGAGCGTCGTCCAGGTGGCGCTCTACCCGCGCTCCCAGATCGACGTCTACGTCCAGGTGCTGCAGGTGAGCGGTGGGGCGGCTACTATCGGGCGCGCCGGTGTCGGCGGCGGCCTGCCGGGCCCGCGGCGGGGTGGCTGCGGCCGGCACAGAAGCTGGCCATCCGTATGGTGCGGTTTCTCGGCCTGATCCCGGACGGCGCTCGTCGCTTCAGGCCTGTTCGCACTTCATTGTCTCAGGGTTGACTTGCAAGTTGAAAGCATTGCAGATGGCGTAGTTCTCGTCGGCTGGTGTCCTATGCCGCAGTGAGTTAGGGGGCCGTCGCACCATTGAGCCGGTCATGGTGGCGTCAGGTTTCAGGTTTGCAGTGCAATCCACGCGCGATAATGGCCCTCCTGAGCTGCTAGTGGGTCGTGTTTTGCATCCCAAAACCGCCACTTGTGTCCCACCCGATGACGTGAAGAAGCTGCACAATACTACCATTCATACACACGTCAAACACGCCTTTTTCCCTCGCCCGCTGCTGTGTCTCCCCTTCCCCTCCGCCTGCGGCCGTGGTGCTGACCGCGTCTCCCCCGGCAGGCGGACGGCGGCCATTACGCCACGTGCGTGAACGCGGCGGCGCTGGCGCTGATCGACGCCGGCGTGGCGCTCAAGGACTACGTGTGCGCGTGCTCGGCGTCGGTGCTGCGCGAGCGGCCGCTGGTGGACCTGAGCTCGAGCGAGGCGAGCGGCGCGCCCGAGCTGACGGCCGCGCTGCTGCCGCGCTCCGGCCGGCTGCCGCTGCTCGAGATGAGCCAGCGCTTCCACGTGGACAAGCTGCCCGAGCTGCTGGATGTGGCCGAGACGGCGTGTCGAGACGTGCACACCATCCTGAACCGCGCCGTGCGCAGGCACGTCAGTGCGCGCGCCGCCGACCTCTGACGACGGCGCAGGGAGGGGCGCGGGGGCGGAGCTGAGGTGGAGATGAGAGGGGAGCGTCGGATGGCGCCCGGGAAGGTGGCCTGTGCTCAGGCCGGCCCAGCGCATGTGCGCACGTGGGCGCGGGCGTGCGACGACGAGATTGCCCCGCGAGAGGATCAGAGCGGGAGCCCTCGCCATCGCGCTGAAGGCGACGCTGAGTCCATCACGGTGCGGGTCATGCCGGTGTTCCCTCCGCACTGGGTCCAGCCTGCGTCACACGCTCCGCCGCGGTCGGACCTCGGGTGCGCCGCGCGCCGCCGGGCGGGCGTTGGACTCTGACCCTTGGTGCTGCCGGTCCTGCGCGCCGCGGTCTGGACGCGGGACGGGCGACTGACCGCCCGCGTGGGGAGGCTCCTCGGCCGTGAGGATGTGTCGCTGCCGGCGCCGGCTCTGGTGAGAGGCGCCGTTGTGAAGAGAGAGTGGGGTCGGCAGGCCTCCAGCGTGCCCCTCGCGTCGTCTGCCGGTTGCGTTTTCAAGTGTAAATGTGTGCCAAGACTGTTGCATGTGCTGGGGTGGCCTTTTGGCATTGTGAAACCCGTTTTTTGTTTCACAACTTGGTGGCACATCGAAAATACTTCACTGGGAAATCGACATCATAGCAGTGAACATTGTACGCATCCATGCTTCTAATACACCAGCCACCACTTCAAAGCCATATCTGCAGGACGCTGATCAGAGCACAACGGCTTGTTGGTTCTAAAATGTAGCTGTTGGTCTAAAACACCTTGGGCGCTTAAGATTGCTCGGGCTTCGACAATAACTCGGTGATGGCCATCATGTGACCGCGTCACGACACGTCAGTTATGCGACGCCAGCGGCCAACGTTGAACGCTTATGCCAGTTGTTCGAGAGCCTGGCGTGGTTGGCCCGAATCCGGGCGTCGTTAAAGCATATGAACGCGCTAATTTCTCATGGTAAGTATATTTGGTATCAAATCTCAAGTGACCCAATAACGGATTCAGGCTTCCCGCAAGCTCCAATGCTGTTCACCCGTAATAATACATGTCTTAGTATCCCCGAAAGCCGATGAATGCAGCAACTGGCTGTTTCGACGATTTCGTCGAGCCTCTTGGTTGGATGGACCTGTGGGAGCATGACACAATAGGTGGCTCCAGCTGCGCGAGTCCTCGCCTTACTTTCCGACTGTGAAACTCAAGGTCAACGACAAGACTTAAGGCGGAAGCATAACTTGCCGTGATTCGCGGCAAGCCCACCCGGCCCTACCCTCTGACGTCACCTCGCACTGCCACTGCCAGCCACCGTCTTCAGCTGCAGCCTGTCCCAGTTGGGGGTAAGCTGTGAGCGCTTAAAAGCAAATTGAACCCGCCCATTTACGGCTGGGTTTTGGGAGGCAACGACTAACGGGTGGCAACTGGGCTATCGTGACGGAACGTTATGTCGCGCGTGTTTCGTTGCGCATGACGGCATGTTGCGTGGCATTTGGCTTTCATCGATAGGCGTCCGAGTGGCAATGCTGGATGTTTCTGAATGTGTGTGAGAGCTGTTGGGCAGGAAGCTTGCGTGGCAGTGTGATGGGAGATTAACTCGGATTTACATGGCTGTGTTTGAGTTGCCCATGTTTTTCTGGAGCGTTGGCAGTGATTGGGATTTCACCGGATGGGAAACTCGTTTATTATTGTTGGTTAGCGTACATGCGTTCGCTTGATAAGTCTAAAAAATGATCTAACCAGATTACTTGAGTAGTAGCTTTTCCTTTAATTTAGTCCCAATAGCTTGAAAAGAATCGGTAGAATCGGACAAATTCCCTCTAAGCTGTTTTCCCGTGATGGAGTAGGCTGTGATTCTAAACGATTCTTCATCCCAGCAAATGTAAATCGACCCAGCGCTCGTGCTGCCGCATGGGCGCTCTGTCTTCGGCCGCGACACTGAACAACAGCGCTGCCGTAATGAAGTACCGCTTCTACATACTCGTCGTGGAATCGATGCTAATAACGGCAGAGGGTAACTGCGATGTACTACGTATTTCACTTACTGCGGTGACAGCCTCGGCCCAGGGGCGGGGGGAGGGTGAGCCCAGCTTTGCCAAAATGCTACTGTTCGTCCATGGCGTCAAATGGAAAGAAACGTTTTAGACAGCCTTCGTTACTCCCCCCCCCCCTCCGTCAGACTGAGCCGTGGAGATGTCATTGCGCACAGCGTAATTAAGTTTTCAAAAGATCATCTTAATTCGTGATCGCTATGTCGATTACATTCAGCTCACTTAAATGACTCGATTGCATGCTGCGTCCAGAAATTTGAGTGCGGCTGTCGTCAAATCAGTTCCGGCTTTAGCGCATCGTCCTTGCCTTGTTGGGTCGATCCTACCACGGTCAACAGCCGGCCTCGTGACAGCCAAAATGACGTCATCAGCACTACAGGTCCGACCAACGCAGCCAAGCATCCACCGCACGTACGGCAGACCAGGCAATCTGAACCTGGTGCGGAAGTGAAACCTTACACCTTCTCGGTCTGAGAGTCTGCGATTCTACGAAATGAGTGCGTGTACGCGGGTTCAGCGAATTTGTATCGCAGCGCGCGGCACTTCCGGGCGACTCTGGGTCTCCGCGGTCTTGATCTCGGTTTCGAGATCGGTCTCCGTGATATTGGTCTTGACCTCGGTCTCTATCCCAGTCGCGGAGTCTGTCTCCGTGATATCCGTGTCCGTGGTCTCGGTCTCAGTTTTAGTCTTGGTCTCGGTCCTAGTCTCGGCCGGTCTCGACCTCGGTCTCACTCTCTGTCTCGGTCTCCGTCTCGGTCTCGGTCTCGGTCTCAGTCTCGGTGTCGGTGTCGGTCTCAGTCTCAGTCGTGGTCTTGGTCTCGATCTCGGTGTCGATCTCACTCTCAGTCGCGGTCCCGGTCTCGGTCTCGGTCTCGGTCTTGGTCCCGGTCTCGGTCTCGGTGCTTTGCGCTGACTTCAGAAATGATGACTATGCGTAGGCGTACCTCTCACGGGTCCGTTAGTCTCGTGGCTTATTCCCCAACAAAAAACAAATCTGGATGGACCTCATAGCAAGTTTGGTTAACTGGTATAACCGTCGTCTTATGAGCTTCATAACGCATTCAGCTGCTAAGGCTGTATGGTGGCGGCGGGCTCTCACCATGACAGGAATGGCGGGCACCGCGGAAATCGAACCCCGGTACCTCAGGTTCCCCAGACAGCGCAGTGGTTTAACGCCTACGCCATCAGCACCCGGGAGTCGTACAACCGTACAACCTAAGGTGAAACAATCTTGCATTTCTGAAAGCAAAACTGCCAGAATGCGCATTTTTCCGCCGGCATATGCTAAAGTGATGATAATTTGATGGATTGCAACGTGGTCGGTGCCACACTTACCATGTCGCATTCTTCACCTCTGCTTGCAACGAAAGGAAACAACAGGAATTAAAACCAATGACGGCCTGCCAAAAATCAAAACCACGTGAATTGGATGATGCTTATAGTCAAGTATGAGCTACACACTTGCGAATAGTTGCAATAATTTTGACAGTGCCTAGCCTTATAATGAGAAAACCTTAACCCACGCCTACATCTCGGGAGCTCACATACTATCTTCCACGGCAAGGGTCCCCTCACAACAGCGACACCTGAGCATGTCTGCGACAGACATAACCTTACTTGTAGGGAGAAATTGTTGGTCAAGGCTCTTTCGCTAAGATGCAAGCATGCTGGCGCCCTCTCCTCCAGTCCACGCCAACGTAAACGATTCCATCGCGATGGTGCGGTTGATATTTCCAGAGCGTCGCACCACACCCCCGGCACCAGCCTGGCCGCAAGTGGATCGTTATTTAAGATAAAGTGAATACGACACAGGCACAAATCAGTGTTGAGGCATCCCAGCTCGTTTCCTATGGATTCCAGTCAAGGCGTGACTGCCTCGGGCACAAATGGTCGGCACATCTGCTTTTTAAAATAATTATTCTCTTCATGCCCATGCTTTAGACGTTTATGCTTAATTCCGCAGAAGTTGGAGACCCACTCCTCCCCCTTTCCATGTGCGGCATCACAATTGCAGCTGCTCACCAATGCACCACCGCTAGACGGGCGCCGCCTGAAATCATCTGTTTCCACCGGCGAATCGACCGGCCGACTATGTACCGCCGCGACCTGCGGCGTGGCACGATCGGTTACAGCCAGGACGGGGCTGGCTAGCCGGCCAGCCGACGCCGCCGCAGTGTTGCCGCTGACGGGGCGGCGGTGGTCGGTGTCGGGGGTAAGCGCGGTGCGAGAGAACCCTGGCGAGGAGCACCTGACTGCACACGACGAGTCTCCTCTGGAGACCACTACGCTGAGGCGAGAACGTGTGCGTGGCTGCATCAAGCCCCGGTGTCAGCGGCGGCCGGAGCGACGAGTGGGTGTTTTTTTTGTGGTGCCGGGCCAGATTCCAGTGAGTCACCGCGTGTGGCGGCGGACAGCGGCGGGAGGGTCCAGCTGGCGGCTGGCGCGCTCCCGGCCGCCAGCGGGCGGCGCTGGAAGGGCCCCATCGCCTACCAACCGTCGCCCGGTCACGCTCCTGTAAACAGACGTGAAGCACGTGCCCGTTGGACTCGGGTCGCCTCGCGCGTGACCATGCATCGCGCCCGGCGGCCGCTCAAACGGCGCCCGGTGTCGTACGGCCGCCTTTTTACGCCGTTCGAACTTCGAGAATGTCATCGGCAAGATCTCTCGTGCGACGGTGCTCAGGCCGCAGTTGAAGTCCTGAGAAAACGGGTTGGCTGCGTCACGTGGCCACCTTTCGCGGAACTTGTCGTGCACGATGACGGCCGTGATCAGCTGGCGGCGCGGGTCCAGCGGCGCCGGCCGGCCGCTGGACCGCGCCACATTGGCCGCGCATCGGGCCCTGCGCGGCGGGTTCGTCCATGCTGCCGGCGCGCGTGTGGGCGGGGTTGGCGCTCTCCATGCCTTGTATGGAGCAGACTGTCACGCGGCCGTTGCGAGCATGGCGGCCGCGCAGAAAGGACCGAGTCATTCGCTTCTTTGATATGGAAATGGCCGATTTCTATAATCTTTTAGTCGTACCATGTGTCATAAGGACAAGAAGAGACATGCCGTTATATTTCTGATGCTGGCACTCATAAAAGGTAATGTGACAACACGTGACATGCAAACACAAGCTACCATCGTTTCAACGCTTTACATTAGACGGCCACAGCCTGAGTGGCTGGTGTGTTCTACATAAAACGCAACCGTGTGGTTGTGCGAGCAGTTTTGCCTGATTTGGACACTGCACCGCTGATCTGCATTCGCACATGGCAGCGATGATTGTGTCTAGTTCAACCGGAAGTACACGGCTCCAATAGGCCCTCTCTGCTGCTCGGTGAGGATCAGTCGACGTCTCTGGGTATCGCTGACGTCATCAAGGACCCGCTGCCGGGGCTGTCCGAATCGGATTGACCGGAGTCTAGAGCGGATCGTGGGAATCGGATCGACCGGAGTCCAGAGAGGATCGCGGGAATCGGATTGACCGGAGTCCAGAGCGGATCGTGGGAATCGGATTGACCGGAATCCATGGCGGATCGCGGGGATCGGATTGACCGGAGTCCGGAGCGGATCGCGGGAATTGGATTGACCGGAGTCCAGAGCGGATCGCGGGAATCGCATTGACCGGAGTCCAGAGCGGATTGTAGGAATCGG